AATATTTGAAGCAATTGGTTGAAGACGTTGTGAGCAATAGATTGCGAGTTGTGTTAGATTTGGGACAAAAATCAAGTGAAGGAGAATTCAAAGGAATTGATTCAGTGGTCAGAGGGGTTGAGGTAATGATTTAATTAAATTATTCAATGAACTGGAAATTAATTAATAAGTTATTATGATTGCATAGCATTTACATTCCGGACGCAATGTTGGAAAGGTTGTCATCAAAATACAAGATCCTTAAAATACAAGAATTTAAAATCAATTCTACAACATATCAAAATTTAAGATTATTTGTTTAGGCATTTTATTAATACACTATATTAAATAAATGAAGTATTTTTGAAAACTTGTTTTAACTTATTTTTAAATTACTCGTTTGTAATTAAAACTACAACATATTAAAATATATTTTAATTATTAGAATTCTTTTTAACATAAATATAGATTTTTAATATTCTCTTAAAGGTTTAAATTTTGGAAATTGATACCAATATATTCTTTCGCATGTTTTTTATTGAATTTATAATTTCAATCTGTTTTCATAAAATATACACCGGTATTATTTAATCATCAAAACCTTATTGGACATTAAATTATCGTTAAATTATAATTATTATCTGAAATATTTACATCAAATATTATAATTTATATATATTCCGTATTTTTTTGTAAATAATTATCGTTTATAATAAAATGTCCAAAACATTGAAAAAGTTAACAGTTATTAAAAAGTCGACAAACTTTAGAGAAGCGGTCCAAGTAGTGGAGGTGCCTCTCGTGCCACCAACTGATGATCAGGTAATTTTGAAAGTAGTGTTTGCCGGCGTCAACGCCACTGATGTTAATGTGACGGCCGGTCGGGTATTCACCGATCAGCTCCAAGTCCCTCACGATGTCGGACTCTTAGTTAACAAAACGCTTTCAAATTATGCGCTCAATTAAATAATAATAATTATTTCGGAATACAAAGGCTTTTGGAGTTATAGAAGTGTTGGACAAAAATGTTAAGTCCTTAAAAGTGGGACAGCCGTGTGTATGGTTTGGTTCAAAGCACAGTGCTTATACTGAATATTTGGTCCGTATTTAATTGATAATCTAACTGTAAGTGTATCTCATGATTATATAAATTTATTATACCAATTAAAGTACGCCAAACCAGAGGAATTAATACCTATGCCATGTCTAATGCCGGAGCTTATTTTGCTCAGCAATGGTCTTACAGCTCGTATAGCCATAGACCAGGTATTCAGTATACAATAAAAATTATAAGAGTGTAAAATTAAAATTAAGTTGTATTTTATAAAAGGCGTGTAATGTTAAAAGTGGTGATAAAATATTGATAACCGCACCGGCTGGTAGTGTGGGACATATAGCTGTTCAATGGGCTAAACATAAGGGTTGTTATGTTATAGGAATGACTTCATCGGAAGAAAAGGCAAAACTATTGAAAGAGTTGGGAACCGATCGAGTGATCAATTATAAGACCGAGAACTTGGATGAAGTGCTCACTAAAGAGTTTCCGGTTTAATAATTTATTTTTATAATTTTATGAACACTTTTTATAAATTTCTGATTCATTGACTAAATAGGAAGGCATTGATATAATTTGGGAGACAATTGGCGGAGAGATATACCAAACATTATTCAAACATTTAGCAAATAAGGGACGACTAGTTATATTTGGGTGCACCAGTGGCTACGAAAATGTTGGTTTTCCTGATGTCCATATACCTAACCTTCCATATCAGGTCTAACTTCTTATGACTATTTAATTATAACAAAAATAAATAATAATTAGTTTTGTGTAATTAGTTATTATTAGGAAGTAAGACAGTGACTGGTTTTGCTGTTCCCCATTACATACATTTGTTCCCACAATATATGCCACAATTAATTGAAGACATTATGACAAAGAAATTGCGAGTTGTGTTGGATTTTGGACTCAAATCAAGTAAAGGAGAATTCATAGGAATTGATTCTGTGGTGAATGGGGTGGAGGTAAACTGTTTTCATATTAACAAATACAATATTAACAAACAAATCATATCTCAATTTTAATTAAATATTTGTACTATTTGAATTTGTAAACAGCATTTGTTTAGTCGTAAAAACGTGGGAAAAGTTGTCATCAAAATCCAAGATCAATGAAACCAAAAAGAATCAACAAAATTGTTATATTAATTATTTTAACGTATTTTATAATTT